CACATACGCGTGCTTCCCTCCTACCCATCCAAAGACCAAAATGTCAGTCGGTCTAAGTGTGGATCTTCCATCCTGCGGGTCCGTCAAAAAGTTTACTGGCGCTTCTTTCTTCGCAGAAATACCAGCACGCCGACAAGCATCAAAGAGAACATCCCTAACTACATCATGTCTGTACTTGAAACCATGGAGCTCTCTACAATGAACAATGTGTTCCCCAAAGGTATCCAAACATGCATTGCGGCAAACTGGGCATATCTCGTCAATTGGGAATAGAGGAATCATGAGGCGGTAACGAAGGATGGTTCGGTACTCCACAGGAGACATATGCTGGCCAAGGCCATCAATGGGGATAGTTTAGCAGAAAATCTTGAGCATGAGGTTCCCGAAGACACTCAAAAACTATTTTTTGTCTAACAGTCATGTCGAAGTCGACTTCCATATCTTTGACGATTTTGCTAAAAAGGGCACACGCCAATGCTTTTTGGGATTTAGGGGGCGGTGTCCATATTAGTGAAACCACTACAGTCGAATCTCGGAATCGTATCGCAAAGACGAGTCATAGCACATAGGTAATCAGAGTCCATACCACATATGTCACTGTCACGTAATATGTGGTCTTGTAATTCCCAAGATTGGGCCCTCGAGGCTACAAATGCGTAGGAGGAAACCTTGTATGTCGAGTACAAACCCAAACCACCGAAACAAATAGGTAAGGAAGCCAGACGCCACTGAATGTCTCCAAAGAAGGGGCCTCCACATACCACAATATCCTCGATAGACTTGTGCAATCTTTTGTCAAAGAACAAATTGCCTCTTCTATGTGCACCGGCTGACATGTCCTTAAACATATGGACTTTTTTAGATAATTAAGCAAAGACCATTTCTATAATTTTTTTCAAATATAAATACCATTTTTATAGTTTTGTTGGATATATAGAACACTACATAAATTTTATAGGGACTATTTCTATAAAATTTTCAAAGATAAAAACTAATTTAATAACTTTATATATATATATATATATTATGGATACATTTCATCATAATTCAGTTTTGTAGTACTGATGAAGACTTTTCCAGATATTGGAGTTTGGGGCCAATCAACCAAACCAATAGCCAAAAAGCATCAACCTTTTTTAGGAATGATTCACCAAACAAAGCAAATTGAAGATTTGAAGTAGTGGGACAAAGCTTATTGGCTTGGCGACCATTATTCCATTAATCAGCAATATCAATTGAGATTTTTAGAACACTGGTTTCAAGCTTTCAGCTAATCGGCTATTATTTAACCCCAATTACATAATCAGACAATAGGAAAATCGAAAATTAAAAGGGAAAATACAAGCAATCATTAGTCAAGCACATTACCGTTTCAAATTAAATGAAGAATCGATTGTTGTGGAGAAACCGAGAGGCGAGAACAGGATTGAGAAGTAGAACAATAGCGATTCAGTCGACAGCAGTGGAACAATGGAAAAATCGATTAGAGAAGATTAGAAGAAGGCCTGAATCGAGTCCGAGAATGGAGAAAAGAACGGAATGTTGGCGTGTTTCAGTCGACAGCAGCGAGAAGTTTAATCGTCTTTAATGTTGGCGTGATTGTAGTCTTTAGAATCGCAGCTTAATTTGTTTGGGGCGTGAATAGATGGATAGAAGAGTCTATTGGAATTAAATGGGGCCCCTTACAATTTGGGGCCCTAAGCCCTACCTTAACAAATAGAAGCATAAGGTTGGCCCTGATAATAGTATATTTTGGTCAAACTTATTTTGTTTTGGTACTGATAGAATACATGGGTTCAAGAGATGGTTGAAATAAGAAAACGTGCCACGATCTTCGTTTTGACCTCCGTTTAGCCTTGACTTCGGTGATACCTGAAACAATCTCACCCGAGACGACACTCTGATGATATAGTCACTTTCTAACAAGAGAGAACGATCAAAGCTCAAAGAAAGGTATTAGGGTTCCTTATCTCATAACCTTGGACTAAAAACTTTGGCTATTTATAAGATATAATTATCCGAATTACGTGGAGAATCTTTTTATCAATTTGAATCATGATAATTTTTTAGCTTAGGTTTTTCTTATATGTTCAACCAACACGTTCTAATCAACACGAAATAAATATAATATACTATATATATATATATATATATATATATATATATAGGTAGGTTCAAATGTTTCTCACATCTATTGTGTGCTAGAATGCACCAATAGAAATTTAGTATTAATTATATGTATATTAAATGATATCCATACTTATAACTCATTTTTATGGAAACTAATTAAATTTGCCATTAATGTCAACAATAATATTCTTTCAGAATGAATTCATATCTAGAAGAATGAGAGTGTATTCCAGCAGAATGAGAGTGTATTCTATTAGAATACACTCTCGTTCTTCATATTTCATGCAACTTTATTGTATTTTAAGTGAGTGAGTCCTGAAACAAAATACGAACTCATATATAAAAACCTAGATGCGAATTCATTCTGAAAGAATGTTATTGCTGACATTAATAACGGATTTAATTAGTTTCCATAAAAAAAGAATTATAATTATGGATATCATTTAATATACATATAACTATGGAAATCATTTAATATCTATATTTATTTAATTAAATAATTATGTAATTTACTAAATTCCTATTGGTGCATTCTAGCATACAATAAATGTAAGAAACAAAATAACCTAGCCCTATATAGGCATGCACAAACCGGTTCATTTTTCAAACGGAACCGGTTCTTTAAACCGGTTCGGTTCACTCCCTAGCCAAGCAAAACCGGTTCAGCCTCAAACCGGTTCACTCAAAAAATTAGTCGAACCTATCTAAACCGGTTACACCGGTTCTAAACCGGTTCGCTTCGGTTCCATACCGGTTCCAAACCGGTTCACACGATATAAACCGGTTCTAAACCGGTTTCAACGACTAAAATCTCGAACGGGTGTAAACCGGTGGTTCGGTTCTCAAACCGGTTCGGTTCACTGTGGACCGGTTCAGCGTAAACCGGTTTATCGGTTCTTTGACCGGTTCGGATCTTGAACTGGTTTTTTTGTGCATGCCTGCCATTTGTGTGTGTCGTTTCTTGCTGTCATTTCTATCCGTCGGACTCCTACCGTCGGCAATCTCCCTACGCCCATCGTCAGGTATATAAATATTTTTGAACTAATCAAGCTTTCAAGTTGTGTTTGTTTCGCTAAACATATATTTTGTACATATTTTTAGAGTTATTCAAGTGTAGCTTGAGCTAGAGGTGAACAAACAGTCTAGTTTCAGACGGTCCTGGAAAAAAAAAACCTGGAGATTCAACATGAATGAGATTCGACCAAAAAAAGACGGGTTAATATCACCCGAGAGCGGTTCGAAAAAAGACTTGATCATTCTAAAACCGGTCCCAAAAAGACTAGACCTTTAAGACATACCCAAACCCTTTTGTGTTGGTGTAGCTCGAGGTTGTTTCGACTTGTGTTTAGCACTACGTAAAATAAGTGTTTTAGACCATCCCCAATCCAACTCTATTTCTGTTACAAGAAAGGGTGTAAAATTGATACAAATAATGTTTCATCCCGAATCATATACCATGTTTTCTTCACCAAAAATATCTCATTATATATATATATATATATATATATATATATATATATATATATATATATATATATATATATATATATATAGATTGTCAAAAACATATTTCAGTTTATTAGTTTTTATATGTTTAATTTTATCTTTTATCGTAAAACTTATTTAATTTAGTGTTATTATTTTCTTATATCAAAATGGTATAAGAAATTGAATGAAGTTAAAGATGATTTATATATTTTGATACAGAAAATAGGATTTGATCCCATCAGTCTATTTTGGGACTGTTAAAGCCTTAAAGGTTAATGATTCGGTCTAACTCTTTTTGGGAAAGACCGGGGACGGTTTTTTATTTCTTTTTTATTTTATTATTATTATTTTATTTTTTTTGGGACAGACCAAACTAGATGAGTGATAGGTTTGTTTTTTTTCTTTTTTTTCAATTCTTTTGTCCTGTCAACAATTTCTTGTAATTTTTATAATTTCATATGTGATCTTCCTTGTGAATTTCTTTCTAAGTACAAACACAAAACATGCATTCTTTTCTAACTTATATAATTCTTGCGATTTCGTAACTTTTTTGTACACGTATTCAGAATTTCGTATGTAAATTAATTAGTCCAACTTTCTAGTATTCCCCAAGGCCCAAGTTACACCAGACTTTTTAGACCCACGGTTATTGGGCCTAAACAACCACAATAGTTTGGTTTAATAAACCAATCTCTCAAAATTCAATACTTTTTATTACATAAACTATTATTAAAAGATTTATTTATAAAATAGGGCAAAAAATATACATAAAAGTCATTATGTTTTTGGTTTTATTTTACAGGTTAACCACTATATTTTATTCCAGTCAATTAAAATCATCCATTATTTAATGCGACTACTATGGCACCTTATTTCCGGTTTAATATCATATAGTATTTTCTAAAATATCATTTAGTTTTCCGAAATGGTTTCTTACTCCTACATTGAGAAGCCACTTCAGAAACATGATGCTATTTAATAAAATATATATGATGCAATGTAGATAAATGGAAAATTATGTTAGTTTTAACATATAGTAAAGTAGAAATAACATGGTCACAATGATAATATAGTGGTTAACCAGTAAAAAAAACAAATTATTGTTACTTTTAGTATACTTTAAATAAAGTTCAATCCCTTTGACCTATTCTTTTATAGCTATTTTCATAATCATACTCATTGAACATGCAAATAATAAAATACAAATGAAATTAACATATTTCCTAAATAAGGTCAAAACTTACTATATCATTCATGGTTCAGATATGCAATTTTATCCATTGTGTATAACACTTGCATTATTCAATTTATTTACATCACAAACAAAACAAAGCCCAAGAGCTCATAATATCACAAAAGAACCTAAAAGAATTGGTAAAATTACATATATTTTCATATGTTCATATATACATTTACATCGATTTGGAAGATACAAACACGACACAAACAACACCTCTGTTTCTTCCCCTCCGCCACCAAAAGATTAAAAAAAAATTAAAATTAAAATAAACCACAAAAGGGGAAAGTGGAAACTCATCTACTTACTTAATGCGTTTATAGTCTTTAAGTAATGTTAGGGGTAATGATTGTCAAAGTAACTTCACTTCACGCACGACACGTTTGCAACATATGTGTTCTCAAACTACAATCCTTCACCTGTCAAGGGTATAATCGTAATTAGCAACAAAGAGTCATCAAGAAACCTTTCTTTTCGTATATTTTATTTTATATTATATAATAATTTACCTTGAGGGTCGATAAAATTGACAAGAAATCTTTGCAAACCCTAAGCAAAGCTCTCTCTTTTGCAGCCACTTTTGCAAGCTCAGCCGCCATAACATTCACTTCTTCGACCTGAAAATTGTAATTCATATCAGACTCACTTCAGTCTCGATATCAGTCCAATAAAAATCAAACACATTACAACCTGTTTTGTTCTGTTCTAAAAGAACTAACAAGAACACTATAATTAAAATACCTGCAAACAAAGTGATTTTGTTGATGAACCCATTGCTTGAATAAGATCGAGTGCTGAATTTATGGCATCTTTCATGTTTTGGAGGTCAGCCTAACAAAATCAAGATTATTATTAAAGAAAAAAAAAATTAAACGTTTTTTAATTCTTGAAAAAACATGTAAAATGATGGTGAAAATGGAAGATCACATACACTTGCTCCCTCACCAACGGGAAGACGAAGTGTGCTTGCTTTCAAAGCTTCAATGGCTCCAAGTAATGATATTGAATGGTCTTTATCTAAATATCCCCAATCTTCAAGAAAAATAATCTAATATTTATTCAAGAAAATAGTAATTAGTTTCTTGAAAAGAACATAAGTTTACGCTCAACGCTACTATTGAATTGGGACAATGTCACTAAATTTGTCGCTATAATATTTCAAGATTTTCACATTATTAAATAAACTTACTTGTGCCTTAAGAATAGATGCTAACTTCAATTTTTGTCTCAATAATTGCAACCTATGTCTTTTTTTGGTCACGGAGTCACGTAAATCCGATATTGTAATCCACGCATTCCATAAATTTTCCTAAAAACAAAAACAATGATACATCAAAATAAAAACACAAAATCAAAAAATTTAAATTTATAATTTTATATCATACCTCCACACTATGTTTCTGCTTCAACACTATATCTTCACTTCTAGCATTCACAAATCGCCATTGCAATTGCCGATTATATAACATTCTCAATAAATGTGCATCAAAAAACCGATTTTCACCTACTTTCCCTCTTCGAACATCAACAGCAAAACTAAGCACCGATGGTGTCTCACTAAAATTACTACTAATTTTTGAACCAGGTGTTCTTGGTGATGCTACAAACTTACTTGGTGATGATGGGCGCATTCTATTTGGGGAAGCCATTGTTCGTGGTGATGATAATGGACTACTTTCAGGCAAGAATTTTTTAGAGATTGAAAGTTTTTGTGGGGTTATGAGTTTTGATTTTGGGCTTGTTGAAAGTGGTGAACTTGGATCTTGTAATCTCCTTATTCGACTATTAGTTTCTTGCCAAAATTTTGGTGACACGATAATCCCTCTAGGTCCAATTCTTGAACGATTTTCTTGAATTCCTGAAGTGCTACCAGATGATACGCTATCTGTATCGGAATCTTTGAATGAATTCCCATCTGGGTTTTGTTGAAAATGGTTTAAAAGATCGATTGAATGTTCAAAATCAAGATTCGATTGGTGTGAAGAAGGTCTAATTACATTCCCCGAAGAATTTATCTTGCTCTTTTCAACACCACAATCCAAGCTCAAACTTTTCGATAAAACGGTGACGTTTGCTTGCCGGATTCTGCCAGGCCACCGGTGGTGATCTATCGGTTTAGTGTTCTCGAGATGATCTCCCCCGCCGCCGTCAACCGTCGTTCTCATAGGGGTGGGAGTCGGAGTTCTCTTTCTTTCAGGGGTACCCTTTCTTACTGTATTTAAATTTGGGGATTGTGGAGTTACTTTGGTTTTACTAATCGGTAGAGAAAACGCTTCGCCTTGAAACGACACAGACAAACTTCTCGTAGATGTAACCAGAAGTTTAGTAGCCGCCGACAACGCCTCTCCGGCGCCACCACCGGCATTGTTGGGTTTCAGCGTAAGATCCGCCCTGATGGGTCGTCTCCGGTCAGCGGAAACCGACCGTTTTGGTGCCGGAGTTGTTGAATTCCTTGAAATTAAAGGGGAAGGCGACCTCCGTAATGTGGGTAGAGATGATGAATTTGAATTTGAAATTGAAATTGAATTTGAAGAAGTTGAAGGTGAAGGAGAAGGAGAAAGGTATCTTGAAGAAACTTGTCGTGGTTTATGTCTAATTGACTTATTAGGGGTAGTGATACTGATACCATTATCTTTTTCCGAAGGCAACAATGGAGGTCTTGTTTGATTTCTGGTTGTAGTTTCAGAAACGGCAGCCACCATCATCGATGAAAAATCAAACCCAGAAGGAATTTCAGCAACTCACCTCACATTGTCGATTTACGCCATGAAAAGATCAAGAAAAACCTGTTTTTCTCCAAAACAAGAAAACCCCTGAAACAGAAAGATCAAGAAACACCATTGTAATTCAAACCCCGTTAATGGGTAGTCGGAATTCCCACATTTTTCAGAATTTTTCTGTAAATTGATCAGAAACCCACAAAATAGTAGCAACCGTACACTGTTTAAGCTGAAGATTTAAGAGAGAGAAAAAGTATTTCTTTATTTCCTTTTAGAGAGAGAGAAGCTTTGGTGCATCTTTGGAGGTGGAGTTTGGGGTTTTGTGAATCTTTGGAGAAACGTTACGTTAAACAAATAATATTTTTCTTGTTTTTAGTTACTTTTAATTTTATTTACATTCTTTTGACGCCAAAAAAATGTTTTTATTTATTTTGTAATGGTTATATGAAAATAATGGGTAAAGAACCAGGGGCAGATTTACTATAGGTTACCTCTCAAAATTTTCTGTAAAATATAAATTTAGTGAAAGTCCGTCAAAAATCCAGTAGAAATCTGTTACAAATCCGTCCAGAATCCCTTAGCAATCCATCACAAAGTCTGATAATTATGAATTTAATGTAAATCCGTCGGTTTAGTGACTTTTGTGGCTGAAACTGCCTTCGAAAATAAGTTTTTTTTCTAGCAGTACAACTCCTAAAAGTTTTGTGTATTCCCTGGTATTTCTTTTTACGTCCATTACCGTAAAGAACGATGTTAAATACTTTTAATCTATTAATGTATATATATGAAAATTAAAAAGAATGGGTATATGGTATAAAGAATAAAGACGTATTGCTTTCTAGCTTTTAGTTCCATGTGATATGTTTAAAGAAAGAATTATACTTTTTATACATTTATTCCATGAGGTTGTTATGTAAAATATTTTTTTAAGCCAATGGCTAACATTATAAATTAGTCGGAAATATCAACAAAAACATATATATTTATGGGTTGACATCTTAGAAAAATTCAATTTAAAGTCGTTTATTTTCATATCAGGTTTATATCATTGTATTCCTGTCGAGAATTGTCATCTTTGTAAATTAATTAATTAATTTATTAATATAATTTTAAAATCATTTGTGTGTTATGTCATGGGAAATTTTAAAAAAAGTTCATGTCATAAAAATAACTATGTTTATAAATATGTATGTGTTAAACATCTTGTATATCTTATACTATATTATAAAACATATTAGTCATATCTTAAATTTTAAGAGGTATAAATTACAAAGCTTTTTTGTATAAAACAATTATGCATAAATAATTCACTAATAGTTACGAAAAGTTTAAAGACTTGAATTAAAGAATATATTAAAAATTTCTATTTGGAACAAAATAAAAAATTTAAAATATTAATTTTATGTATATAAATTAATTTGTATTTCTTAAACGAGAATCCAATATTAACTAATTACATCAATAGTATAAAGATGCAATATAAATATAAGGTATAAACAAATATGTTTTATTTAAAATTGATAAATTTTTTTATTACATAATAACTAATAATAAAATCTAATAATTATTTCCCCGTAAAAAAACTACTCGCTAAAAGAACTATTTATACTCGTCGTTTTACGTGAGCACAAATCCATTATATATATATATATATATATATATATATATATAACAAAAAATAATAATAAGATACATTGACTCAAACATCAAGACCAAAAACAACACGTTTAAAATCGAATGACATGATATAATTAACAAAATATTACATCTTTATGAATCTTAATCGCTTGCTCAAATGCTACTAAGAATACAATAATTAACTTTAAAAGGAAATACCTTAACTAATAGAGTACAAAATACAAATACAAATACAAATATATAATATAGTATTTTTTTATTACTATTCAATAGTGAAAATATACTTACCTATATTAGGAAGATGTGTACTCTTTTAGCACCTAAATAAACGTCCAAATGGAAATCGATAGCCTAGTTTCAACTCTTTCTTGCCTCCAACCCGACCCTACCCGAATATTATTCCTTATATATTTATGGAAAAAGATAAGACATTTAATAATAAGATATTATATGTGTCATACATAAAATATAGAAGGTTTAATAGGGCCTATGTCTACAAGCATGGGAAAAGTGGTGAGAGAGTTGAAACTTTAGAAAGCTTTTTGAGATTCCTTTGTAGCCATGGGACCTTTGCTTTATTTAATCATCACTTACTCATTATTATCATATAATTCCCTTTTTAATTACTTCAATATTATAGTGTCTAATTTTATTACATTGAAAAGGGTCATAAAGCAAATATAAATTCAGTTTGCACGTCAAATTAGAAGTTTGGTGTGAAGCACACTACTTCGTTAAACCATCATAATCTTAATTACTTTTATATCGTTTAATGAATAGCAAACATTAAACCAATAAGACAAAGTAAGTCGGCATACAAAATAAATATTGTTGCTAAATGATTTTGATATATACTTGTACTAATTTCTGTAAATTGTTTAAATCTTTAGGTAAAAACCTTGATAAGGTATATAATGTTAGTCTATTGTTCCATTATATATATTAATGGTGGTATAAAGACCTCTACAAAAGAATATACATATTTGTTAGAAGGAGTCTCTCAACCTATATTGTAATGTTGTTTAAACTCGCCCTAGAAAACCTATCCAAGTGAAAACTCGTGTATCTGCTAGTAGTACCACCTTTTGTTCCTTTTTTTACTAATATTAAAATTGGAAAAAAAAATGACATATTGACATGGCTAGACATTTTTACGAATTTTCATGATTAACATAAAGCTAAATTAGAGTAATAGCAAAATGAAATTACCTTATTGGTGGGGAAATCATGAATACGAAGGAGTTGTGGTCAAGATAAAGGAAATGGGTGAGCATGACATGCGACCTTAATAATTCCTACATTCGACCTTAATAACTCCTAAGTTTATACATATGGCATTTAAGTCACACTTTTATGGGATACCCCGTCGTTTTTGTTGGGTCATTCATTACCTTGCTTCTAACGTATTCTTTGTACATTGTTGCTCCCACAATCTTTCTAAAATTTTCCAACCTTGCTCAATCCGCATACATTGTATCAATCTCCAAAGCCGACAATGGACCATTTGACTTTCTTAGAATAGCAACACAGTAGAAGTATGTAAGTATGTTGTGCGAGGATAAGATTATTTGGCTCAGTAAAATAGAAAGATATTGGATGTTGTGCGAAAATAACATTATGTGGCTAAAACAGAACGGATAAATGTGGACCAATGATTTTAGTTATTTTAATAAAGTGATTTACCTATATTAGTAAATTAAAAAAAAAATCACATAAATCTCATTACAAGAGTATTTTAGTCAACTAATCTGGATTTAAAAAATAAAATTTCATATTTTAAGGGATTCTTGATTTTCTTAATTTTAAATATATGATTTTATAGGATAATGTTTCACTTAATACTGACATTCTGGAGGAATACGTTACTGAGTATAATGTGCATTCTAAAATAATATGCTTATAATATGATATCAGATTTTACTTTTTCAAAAGAATTTATATTTGGCTGAATGTAATACATATAAACATTCTTTAAACTAATAACATATCAACTTTTTATTTTTTTCAAAAAAAAAAAACAACTCTTGAAAGAATTTAATGCAAAAAAATCCATTCTTCAACTAATATTATATCAAATAATTACATTGTATAAACATGATACAAAAAAATATTCTTCAAGAATAATAACATTATGAAAGAATAACAAAAACAATTCTTAAAAAATAACAACATTCTTAAACGTGTGATCAATCATTGATTCATTCTTCAAGTCATTCCTACAAAACCCGCTTAAGATGTTTGAATGTTGATAAAACTCATGAACCAATTCAGGAGATTAGAGAAGGATATGGTTGCACTAGTCCACAAATGATTTGCCAAATATTTTGTGTTGTTATTTGTTGTAACATGCTGGTGATTAGGTATTTTCAATTTTAACTCTAAGTATGAAGATTAATTGCATTTTAGCACTTGGTATAAGAAATGTTACAAAATTGCCCATAATGGCATTTTTGTAAATTTTTGGACGAGGTCACTTATGTTGGGCCTATGTAGCGTATGCAGGGCGTACATGCATGATCCTCAAACCCTAACTTTTTAGGGTTTGGACCCTATATAAACATCATTAAATCTTCATTGCTCATTCCCTCATTAGCCCCCATCCCCCATTTCGACTCTCTAGCAAACCCTAGCCCTTTTGAAGCCATTGTTTAGCTTTGTGTGTGTGTGTGTGTGTTTTCGTAGCCTTGGAGGAGAAAGGGAGAAGCGAAGAACACCTTGGAGGAGGGGAACTCTTTGGATCCAGAATCTCATCACCTTTGGGCACTCTTTGAAGGTAAAAAGCTTTAAACTTGATGAAGCTATGCTTAGATCTAGTCTAGCCATGAATTTTGCATTCTTTTGGTCCCATTAGTTGGTATTTTAAGTATGAGCTACTCCAATCCATTTAGGCTGTCCTTTCAGACATTTTGAGAGGTCTAGAAGCATAAAAATATGATATTGGCTCTTAGTTCTTCCCCATGCATGAGTTTGGTGGTCTTAATGGCTTAAGATGTTGGGTTTTTTAGTTTTAAGCACTTTATGACCATGCAATACCATAAAGTTGGAAACTTTATGGTCAAGGATAAAATTTTGGGCATAGATCTGGTTTTGGACGAAAAGTATTGATGCATTAAGCACTTATTAAGAAGGTTGGTTGACTAGGTGCGTACGATGGGCGTACCAAATGGTATGACGTGCGTACGCGGTCTACGCCCGGACTCCTCGGTCAAACAGAGTACGCCCCGCGTACTCGGCTGGTTTGTTGATTTTGACCAATTTTGACCAAAGGGTATTTTTGTAACATCCCGAGATTTGCAGGTATTTCTGAATCCTCTATTTTATTATTATTTTGTCATTTGTAGTCCCTGGGGTTGGAAGAGTGAAGCCATGAGAAGCCTAAGGGCTAAAGTTGCAACTTTGAGACCAAGAAGAGTACACTAAGCGTACATAAGGTACGTTGAGCGTACTAGGCGCGCCCTAGTACGTTGGGCGTACACTTGTTATAACGACCGGTTCCTGGTATGTATTTTAAATAAGATTTAGTCATTTTGTTCGAGAACTCGACGAGTTGGAGGCCCCACACTCGTCGAGTAGGAATTATTTTGGGATGCGGGTTAAGAAACCTACTCGACGAGTTGAGAGCCCTAACTCGACGAGTAGGGCTGGCAGAATGAAACCCTAATTTTAGGGTTTTGCA